TTATGAAGTTCTGACTATAAATGCACTGGGAAAGCCTGGTGGCTGTTTCTTTTTTTAAATGCTACTATTAAGACTAAGGCCAGAGTTTTTCATTGTTAGTTATGAGCAGACTTCAGCCTTAGAATAAGAAATCACATGAACATAAGCAATTGCTTCTGCCAGGAAAGGAGAAGCAAAGTATTTCCAAGGTATTGCTGCACAGTAATTTTAGCCCAACAGCCAGATATTCCAGTTCTTTTCCCAAGGATACACAAACATGCAAAACTGCTACTGCTTTAAAAAGTCTTTTCTGCTGCAGAAATAATTACAAATACAGCAAAGATCCTTTTTTAAATTCATACAACTGGAGCCTCTGAGCACTTCAACGAGGAGATGTTTTTTGCTGCCTCTCACCAAGCACTGCTTGTCTCAGAGCTTCACATCATGAACAAACCTAGAATGACAGGCTTCAATACTGAGGCAAAGAAAATGTTTCTGCAGCAGTCTTCTCCTACTGACCTAGTACCCAGAAAGAGAGCACAAATGAGCAGTTCTGACATGCAATACTCTCTTTCTGAAGTATTCAGATGAAAAGCATCACCAACCTAGTGTTATGTGCTGCTTTACACTAAACCAACAAGAAGGGTTCAAGGATATCTCTACTGTGTAGTCCCTACATGTCATGCACAGTCACAGCACAAGAGACATGTGCACAGTATGACCACCTAGTCCAGCTAAGGTTTTGTTTCACCAAGTACATGTATAAGAACATGAAGCAAACAGCAGAGCATTGGAGAGTGAAAGAAACCAAGGATGGATGCGAAGATGAACACATACAGTGACTGAACTTCAAAAGCTGCAAGTTTAAGTTAATGGTTGTGAAGATGACACATACAGGATTGTTTAAGGCTTAGGTGGAAGGACATCAAACCTTCTGGATTAAAAACCTTCTGGACTAAAACCAGAAGGACAACAATACACAAAGACAAAGGATTACAAAGGTTCATCAAAACAACTGACGTGAAAGGAATGACAAACTGAAACAAAATTCAAAAGAGAGGCAAAGAATATCTCAGTGCAAAAGTAGAGAAAAGATGGAACAAAGAACAAGATCATGCATGCTCCCACACAAATTGACAGGTTCTGTTGTCATTTTAGCAGAGACAAGAATTAACTTGTACACACATTTAGGCAGCAAAGCTCATTCTCATCACTGTGAGCTGTTACCAAGGGGAAACACCCAGCTTTTACTGTACACACTATTTACTCTTCCAGGGAGTGGAAGAGCAACCAGCAACTACAAGGAACTGGTCCTCACAGGCCAGAATCTTCTGCAGGTATCTTGGACCAAATTCAGGACTTCACAGTTTGCTCGCATGTCACTTACTTCTCAGTATCTGCGAACATCCTTTCCAGCCCAAGAAACCAAATGATTTATTGACAAAAACTTGACTTCTAACCCCTTTACCCTCCAAGTCTTGAAAATATCAGTATTTACTATTAGACAAATATCCTGCAAAGCCTGAAAGTTAAGTGTGGCAATGGATAATAAGGTTTTTCTTTCTTGTAAGCTGTCCATTTACACTAATTTCTTCAAGTAATTTTTATCTTCATCCAGGGTTTGGTTATTTTCTTCCATGACAGTAAAATCATGAGACACACTAAATGGAATGAATTCTGTGCAAGAGACCTGTAAGAGATCCTTCCAGAAATGTCATGGTCTACCTTGCCAGCAAATATTTATACAAGCCATTATCCCAAGGATGGCTAACCAAGAATAAAACACAAACAATAAGAAGTTACCTAAATTTTAAGCATCCTGCCAGGACACTTAGAAGAAATGCCAGGTCACAGACACAGCAAACAGGCAGTAAGTAGCAACCTATTAACTTTTAAGAAGTCAAATTTCCCAAATATTTCTTTCCAGACCCTGGTTTTTATTATGTGAGCACTAAGTTCCAAGAATTAAGTTAAAGTTACACAACTTCCACTTATGTACATATTTACCTTTAAATAAGAAAAAACCTAAAATTACTTTGAAAAACTGTGGTCCCTGAAGAGAACACCAGACAAGTTTATAATCACATTAGAATGGGCCATTTTCTACAAATATTTAATAACAAAGAAAATATGTGAACATGACTTTTAAAAACTAATATGTTTAATGATATCTACTTATTTATTTAATGGCAGAACAATGAATTGATCAGAAATTCCAGCCATTTCAAATGGCCAGCTGAATTGCTGCAATTCATATGGTCTTAAATTCATAACTGAAATAGCTGCTTTACACTCTCACTGCTTCCTAGTGCATTCTAGCATCTATTCTTTATGACACACTACATTAACAATGTTTGTTAAGCATGTTTCAGTAAGCACTTATAGTATTCCTTGGAACACTAAATCACTGTGTTCCCAGACTGGTACTGACTCCTAAAGAATAAACACATTGTATCAGTTCTGATTTTTATAGAATATATAGAATTTATAAATAGTCACACTAATTTTGAAAATTTTGATACCTGAAGTACCTAATATCCACCATAATTTAAAATGACTGGCATCAACACTAATAGAAAAAACTGAAATAGATAAATATTCATCGAAATTGAAAACTATTAACAAGCTTAGAAGAGCAAAAACCTAAGATGCCTCAAAGGAGCCATTCTGTCATTGCCAAGATTTCAATTACAATTTGGTTTAAAAATAAAAAAGCTAGTCTATATATATATAAAAAAACCCTAGTCTACATAAAAACCTGGTAATTTAATAAACATTATTTCATTATTTATACTACATATAGGACCAAAACCCATGATTTTTCTTAGTCTTTATTCTTAGATCAGTTTTCTACACTAAATGACCATTAAACTGAACAGGAATGTTAATAAAGCAAAACCATTTCTTTAAGAGGCTGCTGGGATTTGAGTAGTGAGAATGTCTTCCTTAGGTGTCTCCTTCTATTTATTATACTCTTACCTCAAGAAAATAAGAGCTGAATGTCTCCTTTCTATTGCAACAGATGTTTTTTGTTATTAGGTTCCAAATCAAAAATTATTTTATACATTTACATGTCTATTAAGCCATGCAAGGAAGCATCCAAATGCATGTTAGCAGAGGAAGCATTAAACCAGAAAGTTGAGGTCTGACCATTAGAACTGAAATGTGGCTGCACCAGGCAGACCATTTGCTCCTTGAAGAAATCCCACATTACAGAGTTCCTGTTTCTGTTGGCTGACAGAAAGCCTGTAACTTACAAATATGCATGTGAAGACACTGAAAAAACCCAAAAAACATGCCCAAAGCATTCTGCCCAAAACTTCCCAGCTATCAAAATGTCCTGAAAAGCAGCATAGTTTCAGAATTTGTTAACAGTTCATGTATTGTCCTAAGTCCTTTATCAAATTAATGAGAAACTTTGCACATGGATAAAAGTACCAAGTTGTTTGGACTGTGCAGGTAAAATGAACATATGCCTAGAAATGTGTATGTGTATCATATACAGATATCCACACACCCAACCACAATACAGCACAGCTTCCTTCAGCTCTTCAAGATACTGTCCCCTAACACAAACTTCCTCCTGACAAAAAAAAACCATCTTTTTGAACAAAATTACAATGTAACTTTAAAAAAATATACTGGCTAACCTGACCCAAACCAGACAATTGTGCTGAGTGACTCCTTGTGCTTGAGACAGCAACTCAAATTCCCCATCTTCTCCAACAGCTTTGTCATATCAATTAATGCCACAAGTTGCACAAACTAAAATTTGTGTAGTTAGCAACTAACTTTCCAAGACTATTAATCTTGTCTCTGAAGCCATGTGATAAATGAGCTAGAAAAAAAAGAAGATGGAAACAATAGACACTAACCTTGTAACAGTATGAATGCACAAAGACATCCGATGAACAGCAAACACATGAAATTAAATTGGGAAAAAGAAACAATGCAGGGGCTCAGAAGCCCCAAAGTAAAAGGAGAAGAAACAAATGAGATGATGTTACATGTACGTGGGAGAGAAGAAGTGTCAAAGCAACCCAGAAGCTACTTAAGGTTATAATCCTATGACAGTGGGTTCTTATCAGACAGAAAGGCTGGAAGACATGGGTAAGGCTGCTTGCCAGTAACTGGTGAACATACAGCTTAGTGGTGTCTCTGCGAAGGGCAGCAGGGGTGATTCATCGTTATTACAAGCTTACATCATGTAACTCAGTGTAGGATAAAAACAAAGAAACAAAAAAATCCAACCCATTTTTAACCTTTTAATAAAATGTCCTATGTTTTCTAGCTAGAGCAGTAGCTTCAAGATCCAAATGCTATTTGCTGGTAATTAACAAAAGCTTTGTTTAGCAAAAGTAATTTCTTCTTATCATATAATTTCAAATATGTTGTCCCTCGCCCATCTTAAATATTCTATTGGTGTTTCATGAAGAATGTAAATTGTACACAGTGGAAACAAATGTGATCCATGCAACAACATATGGGAATGAAGATGTCTTTTGTCAAAGTGATTTTAACACAATTATTTTTTTAATTATTCAAATTATTCGAATTAATTATAAAAAATAATAAGAAGAAATATTAAACAATATTAACTTTTGCATCGAAACTTAGAATACACTGTTTCTTTTCCTCAAAAACATGAAAACATCAACAAGGAAAATTTGACCAGGAAAAATCCCAAAGAGATACCTATGACTTTGAAGTCAGGATATAAGAAAATCTCGTAAGTGTGACTAGATATACAGTTTGGATTGACTGTAACTTAAATACTGCAAATGGTGATTATTCAAAGAGAAGATTTCTAAAGTTGAATTATTGAAAATAAATGTTTGTAATATTTGTTTACATAATAGGGCTGCAAAAGAATGCAAGTGCTGCCCAGCAGGAAGGACACTACTCACACACAGCACAGAATCTCTTAAACAAGGCTGACTTGGTGTGGGAGCCAAGGTTACAGAAGTGGAGAATGAAAGGCAGAAAGAGGTACCCGAGCATGAAGGGCCCACTTTACTCACAGAACTCCTCCTCCAGGAGGTTTGCGTGAATTTATCAGCACAGGCACGCACTGCCCCTGGAGGTTTTTGACTGTCCTTCTGGCAGTTACATCGAGTGGCCTTAATCACCCCAAAAAAGAGAAAAAGAAACAAGAATTAGTTAGAAATTAACCAACTGAGCCCACAAGGCCCAGTGTTCAAACATCATGTATGACTTGACTGTAGAGCACAATATGATTAAACTGTAGAAACCACTATTTCCAGTGCTGCAAACTGCTGCTTTTCCCAAAGGATATTGAGAAGTAACCCTGAATAAATATTGACTTTTGGACAGAGTTTTTTTACTTAAACTTCCAAAGCTCTGAGTTCTTCAAGTCATCTTTCAGTCATTACAAATGTGAAGTTTTGCCTGTCTCTATAGCAGAGTTAGTCTGCTGCACCAGTTCCAGGTTACACCAGAAATCAGGTCCATGACAGCAGGGAAGGAGAAACTTCCTTCAAGGACTTTTGGCTGATTGTCAAGAGCAGGACTAAGTGTATGCAAAACCCAACACTTACTGCAAAATGCTAACAAACAAGGTAATTTGGTTTGGTATGGTGTGATCTAGGATTCTGCTGTTTAAACAGCAGAGCAAATGCCAAATCTTCATCTTTCAGTTTTGTTTTAGAGGGAATGTTCCCAAGCCAGAGAGGGAGAGGATGAAGGCCACAACTCAGTTTTACTGCACACGCCTACAAAAGCACATGTTTAACATTTCATTAGAGATTATGGTGACACAAGTATTGTTCCCAGCTATAATAAATATGTATGCTGTGCACCTCGTGACATCTCATCTACCCTGCCTGTAGGACCTTGCTGTAGCTTGAAATGGCCTGAAAATGTGGGGCTATTTTACAAGAATTGTCACAGCAGAATTTACCAGAACCAAATGCAAAAACATACACGGCAAAATCCAAACTCAAAACAAGAGCAAAAAGGTAAAAGGCACATGTGACTTTTGCTTGAGGCCTTGTGTCTCCCTGAACCTGATTTATGATGAAGTGCCCCCACAACTTGTTCTTAGTTGGCAGATTTAATCTGACTGTTAAAGTTGTTCTGTATTGTAAACCTACTTAGAATCAACTTAGAATACTACCTTGCTCAGCTTTGAATTCTATGGTGTAATGCTTTATTAAGATAATGGACAGTAGAGGAAAGGAGAAGGATAAAAAAACCCAAAAAAAAGAGTAACAAAAACTTTAAGCAGAATGGCCCAATCCTTGTCCATTTTTAAAATACTTTAAGTGTAGCCTTATCTTTTCTTCACTGTTACTTTTGAGCAGCTTCTGGAATTTTATGTTCAAAACTGTTTTGGAAATTAAATACTTTCAACAGCATTATAAACATCCTTGCTTAGTACCACACAAAATCATGACCAGATTATGGAATTGAAGATCCCAGGAGCACAACTGGGAACTGAAACCTACCTTTGTTACAGTGAAAGTGCAGGAAAATAATAGCTAAGCTCTCTTAAAGCCTTCATCAGTACTGCCTATTGAAGTTGCACTCTGCAGTGCATATCTGGGATTTTGCAAAACATTTTGGATTATACTTACAAGCTGTTGCTCTAATTGGTTGATTGTTTCATCCTTTTTCCTCAGTTCATCTTTAAGCTGCCTGATCTCGTTCAGCAGATCATCCATCTGCAACAGAACAGTGGTTTCCTATAAGGACTGCATGATCTAAAGCAACACCCCTACAGGACATGCCTGCAGGTATGGCAGTGACACAGAAAATGCTTTCCTCCTCCCAGTCACACAGAGAGAGGGGCTGCAGGCACACAGGCTAAAGAGTGAAGAAATTTGACTAGAAGTCCTTTAAGACGCCAAATTCAGCTGACCCACTAAATTTCCAGGGTAAGTAAATCAGCTGCATTTTTGCAGCAGTAATTCACCTGCTGTGCAAACAAGTGACATTATGTAGCTGAACATGCCTAGTTAGCAAACACTACCTGACGTCCTATTTATCAAAAACAGAAATTACTGAACTCAGAACAAGCATTACATTTTAAGTGTTCTTCAACCTCATGAAGTATTTATAGCCCTGTTATATTTCTAGTAAGCACTGCTTCCCTCCCATAAATACAGAATTAGTGATCTTTGTATAGTGATTTTACAATAAGAGCCAAGCAATGCTACAAAACCTTACCACCACAGAAAATACAACACTACCAGTCTGCAACTATGAAAGATGATCCCATTTGTAATACCAATTGTGATTTCTTCTGCCTTTAATAACCCATTCTAAAACAATAAACTTGCCACTGACTTTGTGGGGTTCACCTAGGTTAGCATTTAAAAAAAGAAAGAAGCAGTACTTCAGTAACATACAGACTCTGGGTGTGCTTTCTAAACATAAACAGGCTGGCATCTCTTATTCCTTAATCAATGTAATTTACCTTAAAAGTTGACTCAGGTTCTTGTGGTTCTGGACTTGATGGAACTGAGAATGTGATGTCCTGGAATGACACATTTTCATCATTCTACCAGGGGACAAAAACAAGAATACAAGTTTGAATTACTTGTTGAAACAGCAAGTTTCCTTTTTCCTCCCCGTAGGAAAGCCTCCCTTGCTGCAGCCTGTGTACAATGCCCAAGGTAAGGGCCACCCTACAGACACTTATATTTAATTTCCATAATTTGATACAATGTTACATCTCATGTTTTTTTGGTGATGTTTTGGTTTGGTTATTATGGAGGTATTTATTTTTGTTTTGGGTTTTGCTTGTTTGTTTTTTGTTTGTTTCTTGGGCTTTTATATAAATAGACTGTTAATTTTGAGAACAGTCAAGTTTATACTGTCCAACACTCAGCTATATTCAATGCTCAAGTCGCCGTTTGTCCTTTCCAGGCCCATGGCCAGCAAGTGAAAGACTGATGAAGCAGGAGTTTATACTCCATGTTATGGACAAGTTCTAACAGAGTGCTTTGAAATAATCTGCACAGTAATACCATAAAAACACAAATGTTATTTAGTTCAAAACATTTCTAAAATGCTAGAGAAGAAGTGCAATTAGAATCCTAGAATTACAGTTTAACAATTTTTTTTACATATTTATATTGTATTCCCAGTTAACAAATTTCACCAACATTTTATTTTAAGCAATGATTCAAACAAATACGCACAAAGGGAACATACATTTGGTCACAGTTACAATTATGGAAGACTCATCATGGGAATGGGAAAAAGTACAAAACAAGACAAACTATTTCAAACAAAAGTATCTTGCATGGCTTTTCAAAGCTGTGCACCTCCAATATACCTTTTACTGCTATTAAAATGCAAGCAAGTGGAGCAGTAAGATATTCCACAACAACAAATGAAGACCTAATTGCAAAGAAGGTTAGTATGTCACACACTCCCCAAAGATTTAAATCAGTACTCCAGGCCTGTGTTACACCTGACTCTTTCACCAGCAAAGCAGGGACAAAGGTCATCCACAGCAATTCCCTCATCACTGTCGTAATTATCTCAGTACACGCATAGAGAACACAGCACAACGGGAAAAGAAACAGTTCAACACTATCAGTAGGAACTCAAGCCCCCATTTGATTAATTTATGAAATCTGTCTTGATGTGCTTTTTTGTTTCTTGCTAATTATATTGCTAAAATGAAATGGGAAATCCTGGAGCCATACTTGTACAAAAAAGAAGATATCAGAATTACCAAAGAGATGATAGAATTACAAAAAAAATTACCTCATTATATGCACATGCTATTTTTGGTAGGCTAGAAATAATACTAAGTATGCCAAAATATCATCAAATTTGTAAACCTAGAGAGAATATATGCTTTAAGTCTTTTGGTTAAAATACAATAAACTTTATAAAGGTATCACCACACTGCATATCACACTACAAAAGGCAATATAAAAAACTGCTACCTCTAACATTTTTACAGTAACAGAATGCATTATTTATTTGGGTATAATCACTTATCCAGAGCAGTGGCAAGTTTATCAGGGTCTTCTGAATTTTTACCACCGTCTAAGTTTTGATTCTCAATTCCAAGTTTTATTCAGTACAAATCACTCACCTGAACCTTTGCTCCTTTGCTAATGGCATTTCTATAATGATGCAAACTAAAGTGGTGTTAAGTGGCTATCAAGCAGAGGGTGCTACCCACCTGCTGCCTGCTTGGCGTTCTGAGTGCAGTTTTACCCAGGCCACGTCAATCTCACTGCCCACTGCCAAACACTGTCACAGCAACAAACTGACAGTTCAACAATGGCTTAAACCTAAAATTTGCCAGTTTGACTTGTGTGGACATGATTTTCTGAACCTGAGAGGGTTTCAGGCTCAGTGGCTGATCTGTTTCCCAAAGGAAAGTCTTTTGGGAAACTTTTCTCTGTCAAGGACTGTTGTGTAAATAAGATTTTAGCTCTCAAAACACTGACACAGATGTTCTGAGATGTTTTTTCTCTTGTCCCACCAATGGGATGAGAGAGGTGTTGCTCCTTGTACCAATCAGGTTAACCTGTATTGGAACACCTTATAAGGGAACCCTTAAAAGGGTTGAAAACCCCAAAATAAAGGCTTCTGCCTCCTGGAAATGAAATCTCAGCTGCTGCGATATTGAACCCCTGCTTTCTACTTCATGTCCTCTAGCGACAGATTTGCTATTGTTTGTTCATCTCTTTTGGCTCTGTTTCTTTCAAGCACAATTAAGTCACTGAGGTGAACTATTTTGTGGCTAGTAAAAAAAAATAATTGTAGGGGCAACTTATACAACATAATGCAGGACACATAAACAACTTTTTATTCTGTAAGTCTGTTTCTTTCTCAGCTTCAGGCTTCTCATAAACAAAGATGAATCTCTCTTGTGGATCTTACCAGATGCCAAAAGAAAAGAACACAATGAATATGTATTTCAAAGGTACACAAGGGACTAACTGATCTAAAGCCTCAGGAAAATGTACTGATGCATTTAACAACTTTGCACTACATGGATCATGTTTTCATTCATACCTCTTCATACAAATAGGCCGTATCTGATAAGTTACAGTGAAGATCTGTGCTTGAAAAATAGAACTTCATTTCCATTCACAAAAGATAAGCTGAAATGAAACATTTTTTATAAAACCTGCCTCCCACAGAAAAAAGAACTTCGCAGATCTCACAGTTCTGTGAAATACTTCATGTTTCATTCTTGCCTACAACAGCAGCAAGTGCTGATCTGAGGTGGTTTCAAGTCATTGCTGGGTTACCACAGAGGATGGTCAATGCTTGCCAAGATCAAAGGATCCAGCGCAACAGAAACAGAACAACCTTATTTAAAACTGTATTAACACATTAGCTTCCCCCCAGAGCAGCAAGTTTATAATATTAATTGAGGAGGAGGAGGAAGAAATTGTTAAGATCAGAAGAAAACTTATTTCTTAATGAGCATGCAAATGAAATACCTTAGTCAATGTTTAAGAGGCATTAACATTTAAATATCAATTATTACTAGAATTAGACTTTCAAAACACTTTCTTCTTACAATACAAAGTTAGCACTCCAGTTAAGCATTAAAGAGAGAACACTCTCCAGCAGTACACCTCTCTGTAAATACCGCTGCGTTTAGTACAAGAACAAGCTACATTTGTCAGTCCATACAGGTTAGTGTAACATTACTAAGTCAGAGAATGTTATACTCGCTACTGTTAAAATTTTCTAAATTCTGTATGAGAGAGACTCCTATTGCTGATTTCAGTGTTTGAAGGCACAGGAAGATGGCAGTGTGTGAGGAGTAAGCAGCCAGCATGTGTACTGCTGCCACTGTTATCCTGGTCACACAGAGCTCAGCCAAGACTCTGGTACTCAAATAGCTATTTATTTTTCCAAGCTGAACTGGGAATGCAGCACCAACACTGCCACAGCTATGTTGCTAGCAATACTCCAGCTAATTTATATCCAGTTATGTGAGTTCCAGTCACAGCAATGAATCCAGTACAGCACATTAAGTCTCCCCAGGAATCTGCTAGGTACACATTCATTACATGCTGTGCTCTACACTAAGTCATGCTACAGCTGATTACATAATTGTATAAAACCGAATTTAATAACTAACTCTTCCTATTTTACTGTAACTGCTCCTCTGCGTCCTCATGCCTAAGTCCTGACTACAGCTCTGTTTCTGCCTATCCAAATTAAATATTATTGCTGAATGTCACAACTCAAGAAAGGCAACATATACACTTAAATGTGTAATATTGGTGGAGCTAGTAGAACTGCTCCCATAATAAACTGGAGTTTGAAAGCAATTGACTTTGTACCTTGATTTTTCATATTTTGAAAGAAGCTGCCTGTGATCTAGTCCTAGCTCAGAGTTCAAAATGCTAAAGTTCAACTACTTGTTTTCAAAACTAAATTTCTGTTCAAGAAGTAAAAAAGAATTGTGGTATTTTTACTTATTCCTGTTAGTATGAAGCTCGATGTTTACAGTAAAGGCTTAACACCTTATATAATGAAAAAATATTTCATACAAGTTCTGCCCTAATTGTTTAGCAAATTAAGCTAGTAAAGGTCTGAAGTTTCCCCCTCTGTAGTGGGCTAATTTACTTTTACATTACTATTCATGTTCTTCAATTACAAGACTGGATAATACACAGGAGAGTAGAATAAGTATTCAGCAGTCCAGTAATGAGTTTTGGAAGCGGTGAAATCAAAACAGGATTGGTTTACGTCATGAAAATACAGCCAAGTATGCCTGACAAAGTTTGAAGGGAAGAATAATACTTGTTATTACTAAACTCACAGGGAGAAAAGATCAGGCATTTGTCAAGACAAGGAGCAAATTTTCAAAAATTAACATATTAAGAGTAACTGCTTCATTCTGTGCATTTAAGTTATTTAAAAAGTTACTCTAAGCTGCTTGAGCCAAGGTTTTTATTCTGCAAGCTGGCTGCTATAAACTAGATCAAGATTTTACACAATACACTCTGCAGGGCCACACACCACTTGGCTGTAATGTGCAAGCCTTTATACCATGAACAACACACACAGATCATCCATCAAGTTGCCAAACTGTCCTTGTGTTAAAGGCATTAAAAGCCCTAGATAAGGTTCCCTGCTACCTGTGTATTAATGCCTGGGCTGTAGGGGAGCACAGTTTATGCAGCCCACCACTCAGACATTACCTTCCCCTTCTGACATTGCATTATTTTTGTTACAATTGTTTTTCCCCTGACAAAATCAAAAATACATCTCAGCACAGGAAGCAAATGCTCACATTTCTAAAAGGAACAATTGTGCTCTTGACTTAGCCTCAAGGTTGATTCACTTTTTGTTTTAAGACACAGACTTATTTTCATTACATTATCCTATTAGAAAAGAACAGCAATGAATCCAGTATTAGAAGACAACATCACACAAACTCTTTACAATGCTAATCTGTATATACCCCCAAAGAAAGTCTCACAGACTGTTCTTTATGATGGTAACAAAGGAATTTCTGTAGCTGAAATGCCATACTTCTGCTGAGTCATTTAGCAGTTTACCAACTCCCACAACTTGCCAAGTTTTGAGGTGCATTGAAAAAGCTCCCTGAAAGCTGATGACAATTTCATAACATAGAAAGGTTATATTTGAACACTTCCTATAGAGATGACCCAGTAGGATTTGCTAAGCTTCTTGTCAAAACACACAGAAGAGATGAAAAGAATGAGGAAAACAAAGCCTTAAGAAAAAGCTATTAGCACTGACTTGCTGAATGCAAGTTTGATCAATGGGATCAATATTTTTCAAATTTTTTTTTAATTCCCAGCTTTTCTGAATCTTACTGGATAAAAGCTAGTTTTCACATCCACTGATTTTCTTTTTTAATTTGACATTTCTTCAGAGAAGTAAAATTTAATATCAAATATATATTAAAAGTTAGTATTTAGCATGTTTTGTAGTCAGCAAAATGCTGACAAAGAAGAAAGGTACCGTTGGAAACAGCAATAAAAGGTATAGTCACTTTCTGGAACTTTGTAATTCAATGTACAAATGAAATACCAATATCGGAATGCGGCCAAACAGAACATCAGCCCATCTAGGCCCAGTCCCCAGTTTATTTTACTGCTTTAGTCCCTGCAGACAGCTCACCTGGTGCAGCAGCCTCTTGAGTTTGAGGAGCTGGGTTTTGACAGCGGTGCAGTCCTGCACCATGTGCCGCAGGGTCATCTCGTCCAGCATCACCGTGTTCTCTGCCAGCGCCCGCGGCGCCTGGTAACCGCTGCCCGCTCCATAGCTCTCCAGGGGACCCACAGCAGGCTCCAGGTAGTTTGAACCCCTAAAGAAAATCCAAAACAGAAAAACACAGAGATGACAAACTGGAGCTAGGCAGAATTTGGTAAAAACCAAAGTGTTATGCAACACAGCCTATACTTACATACTGTGGCACACAGCAGAAAGTAAATTAATAAATCAGAAAATGTCAATGCTATTTCACTTAAATACAGAGTTTTCCTTTCCATTGCCAGAGACCTCTCTCACACTATAAACTACAGTACCCTAAAGCCAGTTAGTTCAGACAGTTTCTATAAACTGTCATTCAACCCTTAAGGACTATAAGGTTACATTTATTTTACCAACAAATTAAACTGCAAAAAGCTGTCCAAACTCACAAAATGCAAGTAGTAAGACATTGCAATGGTTTTCCATGGAACATACATGGTATTTTAATCAATATGTGTAATACTGTATCAACATGAGCAACAAGTACTTGGAAAGAAAACAAAAGCTTAAGTTTTGAAAAGAAATTGTTATAACCCTCAGTGGTGCTTCCACTCAGACATAAAACTATTCTGAAAATGTTGTACTCAGTATCACTTGAGACCCCCTAGTGCCAAAAAGGAATTGCTCACTGGTACTTTAAAATGTTTGTGAGGATATAGAAAAGTGCTTTACCTGTTCAAATCATTTTTACCATGGATATAATGGTCAGTATGGCCAAGATGATAGTGCTCCTGTGTATTCCATCGCTGCTGTGGTGCTCTTTTCCAGAATCCCTCTTGATGTTGTCTCGCATTTCTGTCTTGTCTGTCATAGCGGCTCATATTCTCACATTCCTCTACAGAGAGCATAATGTTAAAAAAAATTGTAAGACTTGTTCCCAGGACCTTGCAAATAAAATATTAACTATGTGCTGGTAACAGATGCACTGTAAAGTCTGTGGGGTTTGTTTTTTTTTAACTGATGCAAAACAGTATGCATTTTAGAAGTGTCAAGCAGACTTCTGCAACAATGTCACATTTTTATTAAAATATAAACTTGTCACAAGACTAAAAGCAACCTGTAGCAGCAACTAAAGAATCCAGCTTTACAGTATTTCCAGTTTAAATAGAAAATCATTTGGAGGAGGTAGACATTATGGTAGAAATTTAAAAGTAACCATTTCCTGTCTTTCTTACTGATGGTATCTCCAGGCCTTTAACAAGTTCTAACAACACACAAACACAGAAAGACAACATTGTGAAAAAAGACCAGTAGTGCATTGCAAAAGAAAACAGTTTCATTACTTAAAACACAGATACACCTCGTCCTATTCACCTTGTTTTGTTTTCAGATTCAGAGACATTTAATCTGTATTTACCTGGATAACCAGCATGATTTAAAACAAGGAAACCAAATAATCTCTTTAAAACACCATCTTCTGCAAAGCCACAGGAATTCCACAAATGTCTTACGGGAACAAACGCTAAATTTGGCAACAGCCCGGAAACGACCGAGAGAAAGCCAAAACAACTTCTACCCGAGCAGTCAGACCCGGCAAAACCAGTCCTGAGCCGCTATTCTGCCCCCACACTTTGTCCTTCACTTACCCAAGGAGTTTTCTCTCACATTGTGAGTCCTTTCACGGAGCAGCTCCACACAAGGGAGCGGTGTTTGCCTGCTGCCCCCTCAGCCCTGCTGCGCACAAGGCTCCCAACCAGGCCCTCCTTCTTGCTGGGTTCCCAGCCTGCGCGGGGCTGGGAGCCAGCCCAGCGTCACCCCGTGATTTACACTGCCCTCCTCACTCCCTGCATACTTGTGGAGCTAGAACTGTTTCTATAAATAGTGGCCAAACGGCATCCCAGGCTCCAAAGTGAAACCAGGAGAGTTTCTGAGGACCTGGAAAGTCTTAGGAGGCTGACGTCAGTGAAGTCACACATAATTATGGAAAAAGTGTTGGCAAAAAGTGCTCTTAAACATTACTAGAACAAGTACTCATACCTACAATTCACCTAGCAAATAACCAAAAAAATTGCATAATAAAATAAACTTATTCACCTTAACAGATTTATTTTCCTTTAGCAGCACCTTTCTACAGCTCATAACACATGAAAATTAGCAACAAAATAAACTCTCAGTAAGTTTACAAGCAATTATGATTTTCAGCTTTGGAAAAGTAAACATTGCAACACTGAGTAAAGACAGGTGGAGATTAACCAAGAAGTTTTGCTTTTTCAAGTGCTCATGTTTACAATCAGGGAAACCTGGAGGTGGCTTTTGAATTCTTCTTTTCAGGTCCCCTTTGCTGAAAATACAGAATTTTCAAGATAAATAGCAGAGATACCCAGTTTATGCAAGATTAGTTTTATAAGGAAATCCAACCTCTAAAAAAAAGTCAGAAGTAGCATTAACTAGCTTTTAATGTTTTTGTGACAAACATTCACCTTTAGAAACATGCCCTTCTAGCAATTTTTAAATTAGTAATTTTTAACGGAATTACTAATGCAAATGCAGTGCATGTTTCATATAAACAAGGAAACTTAGGAGAAATTGATCTACCCTTTAAAATTGTTCCTTACTTTTTCCCCAACAAAATTAAATTACCCCTATTGAAAGAATATGCCTTAGGCTCGCATTGTTACCCATTCTGGAAAATTAACTGAGTAAAAAAGTAAAAAATTCATACCTGTCAGGATTGAAAAGCTGCATACTTGCAATGTTCTCAATCATTTCACACAAGCAGTTTGAAAAACTCATTCTAAGGTTTAAAAGATTAAGTAGTGCGCATCATACGACATAACATTAAAACATGATGCACCACCGTTGTGGTAGATGGAAAACTGTGCTTCATTTACTGTAAATTTGGCTTCATATCTAACATACACACAGGAGTCTTCACCCAAATAACTCAGAGGTGCTCTCAAAAACCCCTGAATTTCCCCCACATTCAGCAAGCAGCTGAACGCTACACAAAATAAGTAAAGCCCTCTTCCTTTCAGTGCCTGTTTGCACAGGGCAGGGCCTGACAGTGCTCCACATTCAGTGTTTCTGTTCATTTGAAGACAGACCAGCCTCCACTGAACTTTGAGGTAAAACTAATACCCATATTCATATAACAACAGCTCATAATAATCATAATAATAATACTCATCATCCTATGAGTAGCTCAGGACAAAGCAAATGCCTCAAACTTTTCCAGTCTGAGATTTAAGAAAGTGCAGCTGTAATTTCCTTTACAAGGTTTATTCTATTCTGGATTTGTTCCATTTCAGGGGCATCTAGGCACCTCTGTCTTCTCAGTGAAAAGTCTGCTAGTACCTTCACTGAAAGCAAGAACACATAAAACACAATTTGAAAACACATATCTTAAATTTTACATCTTCTGCTACCCTGAAGTGTATGCACATCTATTAGGAGATACTGTCATTTTGGAGAAGAAAACAATTATCTCAAAGAATTACACTGTCATTCACCAAAGTTAAAAAAGAAAATACAGTCCCAGCATCTTCAAATATAGCTGAAACATGAAACTGAAAGATTAACTTAAAACTCTGAAATTAATTCTATAGAAATAATTTTAAGAAAAAAACAGTGTGAAACAGGGTTGCACTTTTATTCAAGGCAGTACATTTCTATATTCAGAATTTCTCAAACATAAGAGTTGTACTTGGGAAAACAGAAATATCTCCCCGTATTTCACAAAAGAAAGAGCTATTCCTTAAAAAAAACAAAAACACCCCATTTTGAAGAGTGCATTGACTTAATAAGTCAAGAGTCAAAACAAAGCAACTCAAAAGTCTCTTAAGTCCATGAAGTAGTTTCATAGTGAGATTGCTTGGCTGCCTTACTTACCTTTGTCACGAGGTGGGTCCTCAGGCAGGTCCACATCAAGCATGAGATCATCATCTTCAAGATCACATGAATCAAGATTATTTAAGATATCCTGCAAAAAAGGAAAAGTGAGATACAGCTGGTTCCATGACACTTCATTTATCCCACCATAACAAAAAGCTTTGTTACATTTTTATGTGCACATATCCAACGTTACCAGCAGCCTCCTCTCCTCAGCAGTGACAATCAGCTTTATTTGAGACCTTATATACAAACAACCATTACACCTCTGCTAATGTGACACAGTAACAGTGCCAGATGAAACAAAGATGGATTAAAACATTTTTCTGCCTGATGCCTATGGAAGACTCTGAAGACTTTTTTATTCATTAATATCCTGCTTTCTCCACAGTCAGAAGCATTTTGAAACTCAACTACTTTGTTTACTTGGAATTTAAAAACAACTTTGTGAAGAGATGATGTTAAATCCCCTTATTTCACCTCTCATCATGAAATCACTGAAAGGAAGTGAGGGAAACCTGTGTTATCTTGACTTTCTGGGATAACAAAGCTCCAAATACGCTATTATGAGCACCAAACTCTTCTTTTTTGCCTTTCAGATTGTGGTTCATATAAAGCTGTTCCTAAATGGACTAATAAAGCATGACATTGCACAGGTATGCTAATGGCACAAGGAAAATGCTATGAAGTGTTAGTGCTAAACGAATTACACATATTAAATATAGTCAGCTATATTAAAGGACTGCAATGAGGGCAAGCCCAGTCAGTGTAACAGAGACTGACCCCTTTTGCTTTAAGAATAGCAAGAGGAGGAGAAACTGAGGAGGTCATGGCTGTGGAACACCCAGCTCACAGTGCAGTCAGACACTGCCAGTGCTGCTAGACAGCCACAGCAGCCTGGGCAGAGAACCCAGACACCCTTTCACTCCATTACTCCAAGAAAACAAAACTTATTAGCACCAAGTGACTACCACACAAAGCAGGCCTGAAGGAACTCCTATGGATATCCAGCTCCAGCTCCTGAGTTCCCAGTAAAAGTCATGCCTTTAAGGCCTGAGACCAGACTCAGGCACCTCAAACTGGCCTCTTTCCTAATAGCAGAAACACAGATTTTTCCTTAGGTTTACTGGCTACCCCTAAAGGTGATGCCTGGCACCAATATTGAATAATTTACCAAATATTAGGTCAAATAAGTGTTTTTAATTTTCTCTCATAGTAACGTGATCATTAAATACTTAAGTGAATACTGGATATGAACTCACTGCACAACAATATTCCCTAGCAAAGCCACCCCTTTGATGGCTATCATTTGTTAGATTTGCTTTGTCACAAATGCACAGGTGAAAAGAAAGAACATTAACAGGCATTTGTCTGAAATGTTGCTCCAGCTGTTCTTCAGCAACGTTCCTACAGCACTCACAAAGCACTACTTACTTCATTATAAATGGTGACAAAAGCTAAGAATATTTTAAGATTAAGCAGGGGGTTGGGTTGTAACACTTTTAACATTTTGCATTTCTGCAGGGCAAGTTATTTATTGACTTAAGAGAGTGTGAGATGAAAACAATATGCACTTTGCAAAATATGAGCAATATAAAGGAAAGATGGAATACTTGAGACAAAACCACCTGCTTTTCTGAACTGCTTTGTCAACAAATAGCATTCTATGCATTTACAGGAAAAAAAACAGGTAAACCTACACAGCAAGGCATTGGGAATAGTAAAAAATCCAACCATAGGAAAGCTTCACAAAAAAATGGAAGCCATTTAAAGGAAACATGGATTTAATAATTGGGACAACAAAATGCCTGTATACTTTTACTACTTTTGCTTCCATTTATTTACATTTTTCCAGGAACCAGGAGTTTTTGAATTAACGTATATTTTTTCAAACAATTCTGCAAAAAACAGGCATGCTTGAGAGGCAGTTTCAGTTTGCTAGTTGATAAATTATTTCTATGCCATGCTTTCATCTTCCAAATTAGTGTGAAAAAGCACTATGTTTTTCTACTGCAAGAACTTTAATGAGCATGACAAAATGGAAACAGTGGCCACAAACACAAAAGAAAGTGGAAAAGCTTTGCCATTGCTGTGCAAATGCATTTAAAAATGCACAATACAAAAACACAATATACCAGAATGTTTACTAATAAACCTAGATAAGCCACCTTACTATCTTTGAAGAGCTTTGGAAATCTAATGGTGTCATAGAAGGTCAGTATTTGAGATTCCAGACATACTTTCCTGTCAACAGTACATTTCATTATGCTTCCCTAATTACACATTCTTCACCACACTGAGGAAAGGAAACTCCACGCTACAGAAAAAAACCCACAACTGCAAATACCAAGACTTTGTAATCACCAGGCCATGTGTGAATGCACTTTGAGCATTTGTCCCTGTGAGCTACTTGGGAAACAATATACAAAGAGATGTCAGCAATGTCATCCTGAAACAGCCATAAGATAAAGTACAAGTTTCATCAGTGCATTAGTGTGTCAAAAAAACCAAAATTTAGATACTTTCATTGTTATTCTTTCTACTGCATAAGGAACTGCAGGTAATTGCATGGAAATAGCATAGTTAATAATGTGTGCTTAACAGCAATTAGCATCATGAAGTGATTCAGGGCAACTAGCTCAAACAGAATAGGAAATAAAATTCTTTCAAAGTGCATCAGCTCCAACCCTACAGATTATTACATGTTTCAGCAATTATTACAAGTTACAGAAAAAGAAGAACCCTATTCTATTTGTATAGGTGAAAAGAGTAATGCATATTAAAAGGGGTATGATTTTCACAAGGCTGATTCAGCACTAGATATTCAAGCTGGTACAACCTAGGAAGATATTGAGCTTGGGACTGTGAAATCCCAGGTCCAACTACAGCGCTGTACCCAAGCTTTCTCTCCACAAAGCTTTTCCACTGGGCATAGGCAGTGGTGCCTTGCTGGCTTCCTGCATTTGAACAGGGAAAGCATGAGGTGAGACAGATGATCTGTGAGTCCTGTTTTAACAACTGAGTAACTCCAGCACCCCAAAAGCAAGAAACCCCCATACTGCATAAGGAGAAGGGAAAAGGTTAAAAGGGCCACATGTGTGTTGTATCACTTTCAACAATTTTACTTCAAAGTCCTGCAAATCCTTTCTGGAGTGACTGTCCTCAGATGCTGTGTTTTACCACAGGTTCAGCAAGCACACACCAACAGCTCACCCACAACAGCTTGGGATTTAACCCAATTTGTTGAAGGCATGGAGCCCACCACCTTTTTCTGGAGAGGCATAATAACATCAAGAACACTGGTTTGAAGACTGGGAAATTCTATGCAGAAGAGCTGCCTTTGCTGAAGCAAAACTTCAAATTTCATTGTAAAATAATGTTCACCATAATGAACTGGATATTTTAATAATATTATTTATTATTAATTAATGTGATTAATTTAATTATAAATCAAAATAATATTTTAATAATAAATTAAAATATTATTTCCAAAAAGTTCAGTTTCCAAAAATTCCTCATGCAACATGCATCATAAGCTTTTTCTTAAACTGAAAAGAGCTATTTTTCAGTCCACCAACCAATCTGAATCCAATTTAGCTTAACAGCTGTACCTAGGCAAGAGGCCTGATTCTCAGCTTTCCCATTTCTTGCACTAAGTATTGTAAGGTTATAATGAAACCCAAGTAAAACGTAAAGTGCCCAAAATAGAAGATAGATAGTTATTTGCATTTTCTCCCTACTAAACACAAAAATGTTGACCACTGAAAGTTTACAACACAACGTATTCCAACACAGTGGAATAAAAAAAAAAAAAATTAAGTCAAGCATTGAGGTCAGTGCAGAAATGCAAAGCCCTCAAACCAGTAATTTCAGAAAGTGTTATCAGAACTGAGAAGAGTCTGAGCCCAAAGCACCAATGCCAGGTTAGGATATTTTGGAGTAAAAGCAATTGCTTTGAGGGAGTCATGAACTGGTGTTGAATATTAGGAACTCCATTTTACCTGTTTCCATGAATCATGATCTCAGACCTCATTAGTTTGTTCCACCTTTAGGAAGAAGACAGCTAAAGGAAAATAACTAATTGTTTTTATTACTGATATATGGGTGACCTACATCTTGCTTTTGACGAAGATGAAAAAAGACCACAGTAGAAGGTAAGTGTGAGTAAAGGGAGAGAACTATAGGACAATCTGTCCAAAAAAACTCAAGTGAAGCATTCTAGAGCAGCACAGCAACTAACAAGCCATCATTTCAGGTGCTTGAGGAATGAAAAAAAGGAAGCAGTTTTTAAAAACAAGCACAAAACAGACTGGGTAAATCAGTCATCTGAAAGGCAGCTAAAGGATAACAGCCAAAGTCAAACACAAGTCAAGGCTGACAGAAGAAAAGAGGGAAACCTCCAGGGTCGTTTTCAATGCTATTTTCAGCATTTGACAACATCCGAGATAAAGATAAATAAAGAAATAGGAAGTCTCCAAAATAGCAACATCATATAGGAACTGAACAGAACTCTTAAGTGAAGGCAGAAAACACAGACAGAGGAAAAGCACATACTGTTCTATAGGGATGAAGAGAAAAACCTACTGTAAATTAAGTCCTTAAAACAGCAAAAACCACCCAGGGAAGAGGTGGGATAGAACTCTGCAGGTTACCAAAGACAGGATAAGAAAGAATTCACATTAAAGATAATTAGGCCAAACAGACAAACAAGTATTTTGTAATTTTGCCCATTCTCCGTAACTGAAGGTTGCTGTGACAACACATCTAACAAGAACTTGGTTTGGAAAATCCCAAACACTTTTGGTTTAACTGTTAAGTAGAACAGTCTTAAAGACCTACTGTTCTTGAAAACATTTTTATATAGGCACTGTATGTTCTACCCAAGTTTACTGAAGATATAGAGGAATTCATTATTAGCTTATTACATGCTGTATCTAAAGTATCTATACTTAGGTTTAGTTCTTTAATTTTTTTAAAAATATATAAAATCAGATGTCAGACTGTGTAAAAAAATCTGAAATTCAATAACACAACAAAAGAACAGAAAGAGGAAAACCTGAAATATTAGCCGTTCTGTTAAGACTTCACCAA